TGTAATGTGACAAAATATGGAAAAGTTCAAGGGGTATGAATACTTTTGCAAACCACTGTATATACTGATACCATCTAACACTAAGATCACCCACTGGTGAATCCTATTTATCTAATTAAATTCCTTATGAACTGTGGGGGTTTAATGCAAGGAGGATGAATACAAGTTTTCMTTCGTTTTGGTTTTATATTTCTTAAAAAACATAGATGAGCATTTTCTCCAAATCTGGATTATTTTGTAGGTCTGTTAGTTATAATCAAATTGGAGATCCATTTCAAAAGGCAGCAAAACTGAAAGATTATTGGCGGGGGGATTTTTGCAGCCCATTGCATGCATAGCATCACATGATGAAGTTAAAATGTTACTGACACAATTTACAGAAAAACTTCACTTTTGCCTCACTTATAAAAATCATTTTTGTGTGTTTAATTTTCAAAGATAAAGCGTTGTTCCTGAAGACTTAAATGAGAAAACTTGTGAGATGTTTTAAGATATTGAACGATTTATTTTCTGCTTAAGTGTCAAAAAGAACTGCTGTATGTTTTCTCCTGTAAACCAGCAGATAACATAGTTTTAAATATTTGCTCTACAGAAAGGATGGTTCAGCTTCCTTGGCAAAAGAAAGAAACTCAAAATCTACCAATAAATAATGCGTGTTCCAGTGTGAGTAATGAGTCCATATACTTTTTTAATTCCCTCAAGTCTTTTGATTGGAGGTTAAACTCATTACTAGCAGCTGACCTTCCCTTACCTGCTGTTTACACTGAAATGAGAACAAGCTCTTTACCAGATATTTTTCAAACAGGAAAACTCAACCAGGGTTTTAATAAAATAAACGAGGGAACAAAAGCTTTTTGTGAGATATAAACCCCTTCTGCAAATCGAGAGCAGCTTTCGTGGACACAGGTCTGGTTGCGATTACCTGCGTCTGGTGCAAAACATACAGAACTCCTCTTGAAGTTTCACAGGGAGMATTTAACACAGAAAACACATTCATTCACACAATTCAGATATCGTTCATTGCGTGACATGTGCCAACATTTGCTGGACTCTGGTAGCTGAGAACATTTCCACTAACACGCCAACGCTGAGCAAAGAAGTTGCTTCGTGTCTGTTCCGTCCACCAGTGGGAGTTGACAAGATGTTGGAGGCATTTGCTGTGTGTGTGAACGGACTGCACGCTCTGCAATCATCTGCTGGAGTGACAGTCAAAACAAATCAACATTCAACCACAGCAGGAACTAATAGAGTTTCATTTTCAAGTGTGAAAGCCCTGGGAGAAATTCGACCTATTATTACAGTGACGGATGGTGAAACAAGCATACTGGCAAGGTTAACCACAGTGAGACAGCTCTCCCAAGGAGCAACCCATGCCGTTAAATCAAAGGCCAAACATTCCTTGAAGGAATGCATTTCACCTGCTGCCTTTCATGCCACAGGTTTAAACTAAGGTGGTATGAATGACTCTTAACTACCATCACACCCAAATTTTAGCTCAATATTCTTAAAACTGACATATTTAAAGTCATCTCTGTGTTGGATAAGGTCGATTAACTGTGGCAGCCATCTTGAATAGGAATCAGRCTATTTTTAGAACTCTAGACACATGACTACATCCACTCAACACCCATGTGTGCGGACAAACTCTACTACTGGTTTTAATCACAGTAAGAGGTTTAGCTGTGTTTAAACCTAAAGAAATTCAGGAAAACAGCATCAAACTCCGCCAGGAGGACCACAAAACATTGTGCTGTGGTGCTTGTACAGCCATTCAGGATACAGCCATCACCCCTACATGAAGGAAAGATTTTTTGTCACTTTTCCCAAGCTAAGCTTCAGGCTAACAGTTGGATTCTAGCGATGGGAGGAGAATAGAATAGAAACAGCCTTTATTGTCCCGCGGCAGGGAAATTCAGGTGTAACAGCAGCAGCAGATATACATACATCAATCCACGAAACAGTATATTTCTATGTGACATTATAAACTGTAGTAATAACAATAGAATTCAAGTAATGATAATAAAAAATTAAATTAGAATAAAATAAAAAATACTGTACAAGACTATAAAGATGAAATAAGATAAAAAGAAAAAATATCAGCAAAATACCATGCAGAAAAAGAAAAAATTACAAGAAAAACACAAAACAGACTCATGATCCGAGGGGTGTGCACATTGAGTCGAGCTCAGTCTGACTAGCTGTATTTGACTAGAAAAAAGTGTAACCACGGAGTTAACGTCTGCTCTAAATATTTCATTGAGGGTAAAAGACCACCACCCAAATCATATCCCTGCACATTCTGTTCATAAACAGGCACAATAAAGCTTTTGATGTTTTTATTATACTGTTAGCTTTACTTGTAGCATCTACGCTAGGCTCATACAGTATTCTACTGCAGCCAGTCACACATATGGTGATATTTTACTTACACAAATTTTAGACATCTCTGTGACATTTCTTTAAGCAATGCAGAAGGAGTGGCTCGAGTGATAAAAAAAAATACACACACCTACATACAATACATAGATAGCAAGCTAGCTACTATAAGACACTGATAAAAACACTAATATTTTTAACAGTTCCACTCGCTATCCAAATCTGTTGAAGACCTTGACCCTCCAGCCAACCTTTCGTTTGAACTTTCCTGTATTTACTGAATTAAGCTCAATATCACCATCGGATGTGTCGAAATTGGCTCTAGGAATTTCTTTTTCTGTTACAATGTTAACACTAAATCACCATAGAATCTATGCTGATTGTCTGATCACTTGAGAGAGTGGCAGATAATGTATGTAAATTATATGTGTGATGTCATGGGGATCACCACTGGACTGACTTCAAAAGTTAATCAGGTACAGTTTTACATCTAAATATAGCTTTCTCATGGTTTCATAAAAATGCAGAACTGATTTACTAACACAAAGACACACAATACAAAGGCACACTAACAAGTTGAAATGACGAACACCTGTGAAGGAGACAAACAGGAACAGGAGTGGGAGGGGCACTAAGGAGCAGGTAAACAGACACAAAGGGAAAAAAACACAAGCTGCGTTTCCATTGCAAATGTGCGCAAAACTTTGTCGATATTCTGTTAATGTCAAAAAACACCGTTTCGCAATTGCAGTGTTTCCATTAAGTAAGAAATGCTACTAAAGCCACTCGTTAATATGTTTGTTCTTGCGATAAGTCATTACAAACATGGTGGCAATGAATGTAAACACATGCATAATTGCTACCACGACACTAGCGCTCATCATCAAAGGAGACATCGGAGTCTTATCGAGGCTTTCAAGCGACAAGCTCCTTATACTTGGGAGCGGCTACATATACGGCGTTTTTGGGAAATTGTAGTCGGTGAGTTTGCTACTTTCTTTTATAACTTCGGTGATTTTACTACTACTTCTACTTCCTGTTGTCTTCTTTGTCGTCATCTTTTTTGCCAGTAGAAACAGCCGGTTGTTTATCACGTGACTCCCGTGATACAAAAAAGTGTTTCCATTGCAGTTTTGCGAAATACACCAATTTCGATATACGTCCGAAAACCCACTTCATCCTAGCACAAAAACATTTTGTCGAAAAAAGGAAGTTTTTTCGAAATTGACGTTTCCATTGAGCCAATTTATTTTCAAAATTCTATTTGTGTTTCATGGTCAATGGAAACACAGCTACAGACTGTAAAATAACTAACCCAGAAACACCAATCCTCAAACATGAGATATTTTACTAACAGACAGACAAACTTGCTACAATAGTTGATGCAAAAGTTGTCAACAAAAATATTTCACATTCTGTTAGTGCTCAGGATATGAGCTGGCATCAGTCTCTGCTACTACCATACCAAATTCTTCATCATTGTTTCCCTCCTTTATTCCCTGTAAGTTTCATCAAAACTTGTCCAGTCATGAGCTAACTTGCAAACACAGATATACAAACATAAACACACACACAGGTAAATACCATGCAACAAAAACTTTCATCCTGATAAAGTTCATCAACTAAACATTTTCTGTTTAACATAATTATTTATTCGACATAGAACATTACAGCAAACAACATCCTTAGTATTTTGTAATTTGATTTATTTTGAAGCTTTATTTTTATACCCACCTGTGGCCAATATTGGCAATTTGCACATTTTAAAAATTACAAAGGCCACTTGCACTTTTGTTAAATTATTTAACGCATTTAAAATGTTTGTGATGGTCACAAAGTAAATTGATATATCAATTTGATTTATTCCAAATATGTTTCACAGGTCATTATTTTGTTTGAAATGGAATTTTTATAGTCAACAGTAATACATGTCAGTTTCTAAAAATATCTGAAGTAGAGTCAACAAGTCTTAAGTTTATTTTTGAATAAAACTACGAGTGGAAATCTTCACTGAATTAAAATGTGGTTTTTTTCAGGGTTTGGTTCATTTCTGGTATAAAATCATGGCTCATTAGACCAATCACAGGAAGTTGCAGTGGATTATCATCAGTACTGTAAAATAAACTGAAGTGGCATTGTCATCAATGCATGCACACACAACAATGACATTTATCCTCTGCATCTGACTCATTACCCACAAGTGGACCAGTTGGGGATTAGCTCAAGAACATTGCAACATGTGGGCATGTCAGGGAATTGAACCTGTGACTTGCAGATCCCAAGAAAACTGTCCTACCACTGTTCCAGAGTTACCCCTCACTCCTATTCTCCAAAACCAGAATTTGAAACGCCTGGCACCATTCCTCTTTAAATGTTTCATACTTTTAGAATTTAGGGTGTGAATAATATTGTTTATTTCCTGATACGTTACAGTTAAACTGAGGAGTCTCCTTGTTTTATCATATAACCTCACCAAATCCAGATTATGTCACCATCTGACATGAACAATTTTTTGGTCAGAACTGTGAACTCCTAATCCACTTACCCTAAAAACTTGAGTATAGAAATTATATTTTGTCTTTTTCATTTGTGTTAGATTTTGATAATTTGAGGTTTGTACTTACTGCTGTTGGATGTGCTGCTGGAGATACTGGGGTCTTGCAAATTGGGGGGCCGCCTTGACAGTCAGTTTCATCTGAGCCATGTTATTGGCTGAAGGGGGCACCGAGGCGTAACCATTAGGTAACACTTGCTGAGGAATGGGCCGCTGGGGTACAACGTTGTTTCCATTAGCGTGCCCGTTGGTGTGTCCGTTTGAGGGTGTGTTTCCGGGCAGCGCTGGATTGGAGTGTGTGGGCACCGTGGTCTGTTCACATGCCTTCCCCTTTGAACCGGGTTTACAGACGCAGAGCTGAGGCCTGAGGCACATTCCTCCATTCTGGCACTGAGGGACGCAGTTGGCTGTATCACAAAACCCAGACGGAGCAACAGGACAAAGAAGAAAAATAAGAAAAGAGGTTTATGGTTAGAGATCAATCATAAAAAAACATACACAGGACACACAAAGAAATTATTTTATATTTGATGTTTTGCAAACAGTACACTTCATTCAGCCATTAATATCAACATTTAACATGTTTGTGCTATAAATATGTAAAACCTTCAAAGTTTATAGTTTAGTTTATTTGTTTGTGATGATAAYTGGCAGTGGGTGACGATTCCGCWGCTTATGATGTAAGACGTTTAAAAAAACGCTGTCATTTTCATCATCACTGAATGTAGTATAAACCCCTTCAGTGTCGTGCACAGATTTCATGCGTGACATAACTGTATGGAGACGTTTATGTGTTTCTATTGTGAAAAGCCCAGGGGAAGTATTTTTGTATCAGGGTTTAGTTGAGTCGTCCTGTTAAGCTTTATTAAATAACTGGACTTATCTTTTATCAAATAAACCTTTGCTCGACCGTCCTCCTTAAAGAGCGGACCAAAATGTGTGACTACTGTCTGCAACCAGGCAAAGAAGAAAAGAAATGTAGAGAAGGGAAACAGTGACACAGACAGAGGTACAGTAAAAGAAATAAGTCAATAAATTTAAGTTTCTCTGTTGCAGAAAGAGAGTGAACCCTAATTTACACTAGATGCAGTTTCACTTCGCTCCTGTCTGGTCTGATCTCAGCAGTAAATACACAACCATTATAATCAATTAGAGTATTTACACAGCAGTGCAGGGCGGTAGTGAGTGGACGGCGTTCCGCCAAAATTAGTAGATTCAATCCTATTTTTGCAGAACGCCTGAGTCAATCTCCAAAAATCACGTCACACCAACAGGAAAAGAGACAAGCTCAACACCCATATTTTCAAAATCATTCACAAAAGGCAGACTAATTTTGTCAAAATCCCAGCTATATTACTAAATATATGGATATATTTATGCACATGTGAAAATGTATTGTTCTGTTTGGGAAGCAGATGGCAGCATGTAACGTGCAGCATATGTATGCAAACACATGAATTTTATTTTGTAATAAGAAGTTTCAAAAATTTGACAGTGATGCAGTTTCAACTGTGTCCATCTTCCACAGAATGACTTCTTTTGCTCTGACTTCCACATTTATCACTGGTTCTATCGCGCAATCTTGCACACATTTTTCATACCTTCTCTGTGCTTCGCATGGGAGCGAGATGGACTTTGTATAAATTGGGGTGCAAACGAATGATGGCAAACTGCGCACCGCCTCAAAGGAGCGGAACTGTATGAAGTGTAAATTAGGGGTAACTTCAGCCGATCATGGTTTGTTAATCAATAAACAGCATTTGTGCATTTTATTATCATCTGAGCTGTGATGAAAAGAAAAATACAGTCAAATACAGTGATACCGGTATAATTGTTGGGTCATACCGCCCAGCATTATTGTACTGTCATCAAACAAATCAATAAAATATTGTATCGTAATAAAGCTGCTGATACATTCCTAGTGTCATTGCAGCTACAGCACTAACCTTCATTTTGTAATAATCTAAACAATTATAAAGCACGTATGCATGGTTGTAGTAAACATGTCTCTATGCTGCCTGGTGGAGGTGGACTCTCTCCCAGCCAGCACAAACACAGAGAGCCACTTGTGTTTCTACAACGTCATCTACGTGCACAAAACTTGTGCAAAATGAAGTGTAGTTCAGCAGCCGCTTTTTCCACACAATATCACACAATACTTGGCACAWAYCCTGCAAGAAAAAGCTCTCCATCAGGTTCTCAGGCTCTTGCGAGAACAAAATGCAGCTGTGTCGACGAGATTGTTTCACTTCACAGTTTGAATTCATCTTAACTTTTAGTTTTTGAGCTTATGCACATTGATGTGTGGGCTGGGATCAACTAAAAGCCTCGAAATACACAAGGCAGATTGTAGAGACAGCCATTCCTCCACTTCAGAGCCACTCCTGCTGACGGAAGTTTATGTACTGCACCCCAACACATACATGCATGTGCATGCACAGATGTGTTTGCTTAAACAATAAAAAGGACGTGGATAGAAGATAACAGCCACACATCAGGACAATCTTCTGATTACTCAGTGAAAAATCTAAACATTTGGTAATCTTTACTACGATCTTATCAAAAACTGTACGCTAAAGCAAAGTCCTAACCCCGAAATACATCCTGTGAGCTTTCAGGAATCATCTTTATGAGGACTAAAGCACARGAACAAACTCTGCTTCCCTCTGCAGTGATGTGAAGCAGGAGAAATGACTCAGAAAGAGGTCAGTCCTTCTCTGTTCTCCCAAGGGTCCCTGAGGGTGTGTCACCTCTTCATTCAGCTTGTTAGTCTAATGAGTGGCTTTGAGATTTGTGAAAATGATTAATGAAGGGAAAACTAAAGAGTTGCTGAGTGACATSTGGAGGTGTGAGGAAAAAGCTCCTTTGTCAGCCGTCAGACCATTAAGCTTCTCTGAAAGCTGAAAAACAAGAAGTTACAAACCTGGTTCAGTCACCTCATATGACTCTTTACTGTGTATCACTTGTTTAGGGTTATGTGTTTATTCACACTGTTTAAAAGAATAATTGACCATTTTGAAATGGTGTTTTGTGTGAAAGTTATGAATAATATCTGCTGAAGATGGCTTGTTTGAGACAAAGACTGAGGAGCTAACAGCTAGTCTGAACACAACTAACACCAAAGTAGATTGCTGACATCTTAAAACAACTAAATAACATATTTTTCTGTGGTATTTTACACAGACCATATATGTCTACTCCAACAAAAGGAACCCAGAAGTTTAAATAAGAACATGACCAACCCTCCTTGTCGGCTGGTTCCAGTTCTGGATGAAGTACAACCCCTTCCATGTAAAGGATCAAAACATCGCTTTTGGTAAAATAAAAAATAAACCTCAGATCATTTTTGTTTTATTCACATAGTTCTTACCTTTCTGCTGTCAAATATCTTTTTTTTTAACATGTTTAGCTGCAATTATTAATTTCATGTTTAAAAGAACAATTACACTGGTGTTTTGACCAAAGTATTGTAAAATTCCTGCTGGATTTTACCCCTGGATGCCCCAAAAGTGCTACATGTACTGCTGCTGCTATTTATGCTTGTAAATACATAACTGTAATAACTAATTGTGCAATATGAATCTGATGGTAATGTAAAGTTTTTTAAAATAGTGTTTGCATGAAACACTGTGAATTTTTAAAGACTGCAGTTGTTTAAAGACAACAGCAATCCACTTTTGTTTTAGCTACATCCAGACTAGTCTTGGGCTGCAACTAATGATTATTATAATAACCGATTAATCGTTCCTTTTTTTTTTTTCGATTAAATCGATGAATTGGAAAACAAAACAAAACATTTTTTGTTTTCACCTCTTCATTCCAAAATAGAAAATCCAAAATAGAAAATTTGGACCTGCATAGCAAATCACACAAAATACTGTTTGCCGTTTGAGAATTCCGTTACTATAATATTAAATTGTAATGCATGACTAAGTTAATATTTGTCAAATAGCTTCAGTAAAAAAAATACACAAAATATTCACAAATGTGTTCTACATCTTTAAAGTCTCTATATATCCTCTCCGTGAGCTTTGCAAAATGTAAAATGCAAGGCAAGTGTCCACTCAGACATTGTCAGCAAATTAAAACTTAAAGCTTAATCATTAAAATAATGCCACCATAAATTGCACGACACAACAAATCGATAATTACATTTGTTATGGACTAATTATCTATCTGTGTCACTTGTTCAATGTTAATCTGTGTTGGCTCAGACGACAGGACTCCGCAACGGACTGACTTCTCTTGTTTGATAAGACACTCTTTGAGCTGGGAGCCCTGTGATAGGCTGGACAGTATATTAGGCGATCTGTGATTGGTTATAAGCACGTCATATGATGTTATCATGGTGTGTATTATTGGCTGTGTCCGCTGACGTGTCAGCGACGAGCCGTCATGGCTTCCTGATTGAGTCCTGTTTGCCTGTTGCTCAGAATTAAATCATTTATGACGACCATACACGCAGACTTTTCTGGCATTATTCCAACGTGTTTCTGCTTTCATACGACGACAACATTTGTGCCAATATTTTTTAATAACTGATTTTTATCGATTTTATCTATTAGTTGTTGCAGCCCTAGACGAGCCATTAGATCATTTAGATCACTTCAAACTCAGGCTATTTAAGAAGCTACAACAGGTAAGAAATCAATTATCTTTTCATACCTTTCATACCTCAATTATCTTTTCATACCTTTCATACCTTACCTTTTCATAGAAACCTAATTCAAAATGGCCAAATTTTTCCTTTATCAGTAGAAAACCTTTCATCTATCTATAGGCAAAGCATCTGTATTTCATGCCGTTTGTTTTTCTACAATAAGCACTCAGCTCTACAAGCTTGCAGGAAAGTTCCAGCACAGTTTAGCAATGCAACTCCACCCTAAATTGCAGAAAGGATTAAGCAATTTCATACTGATCAGCCACAGTGTGTCCGTTTACACCGCAGTCAAACAAATGCAATGACAACACCRTGGCACACTGAGTTCTACTTTCAGAGCCCCTCCTCGGACTGATATTCTGTGTTAGAAAAGTGTTTTGGTTTATGAGCCTCACAACTGCCTTAAACTTCATGTAAACAAAACTATGAAGCTGATGTTTGACTTCTGCTGAAACAAACGGGCCAGAAAWCATGCTGCTTCCACTTCTGAAAATTAGTTTGGCTACTGGAAAAAAAGAAAGCTGAGGGACTACATTAATTTGTCCTGGGACCCTATGTAAAGACCCACTTTGTCCATAAAACACACACTGACTTCCAGTCCCTGTACAAATGTCAGAGCCAACAAAGCTGCATGTGTTCATTCTCCCATCAGCAAATATAACTTTCTCTAGCCTGAGATAACATAAAGGAAGAGGAGGAAGAATGGAAGATGACTGAATGCTAAGTGCAAACGACAAAAACACTTCT